GACACAGGCAAACAAAAAAACAGCAGTTCAAGAAACCTATGCTGCAATGGTTAAGAGTCGAACCTAAATAAATATTTGATTCCTATTTTTGTATACTGAAGGGTTCCTTTCTATCTAAACAGATGCAAAGTAAGAACAACATTATACTGACATAATCAGAATCCTAGCACCTGGCTAAACTTCTGTGATATACAGAGGCCCGCTGACAAGTATCTCTCAATGCCTGCAGACACCTGTCCTGATAGGGTAAGAGCACTTAAGCAACTTCTAAGTCAGCAGCAATGGCTGCACGGGTAAATTACAGTAATTATTCCTCCAGCTTCCAGAAATACACATTAGGGACTTTTTAGAGAAAGCCCATCTGCAAAGTGTATTTAGAAGCAAGTCCTTGATGAATTTATCTTTCATTAATTTGCTCATATGCTTTCTTAACTCTTGCATGCTCCAGCCACACCAATTCTTTTTGAACAAACAATTCAACAAGTTCTGGATTACGAGAGGGAAGTTCTGAATCTCGTTCTTTTAAGAAGTCCCTCTATCCTACCTTTAGTTGTGTCCACATTAAGTGGCACTAACTTCAAAGCCAAGATTTCATTAACCACAGGTTTGATATCCATTTTCTTCTGAGCGTTCTCTGGCGGCTTTTTATAGCTGGATGCTATATTCATCAGGTCAAGCTGAGTTTTCATTCTGGAAAAGTAAATAACCAACACACACCTGTTTCTCACGGCTTATATGCCAACAAGAAGATTACAGCTGCTTAATAAAAATGAAGAAGTAATTAAATCAGTAAAAAGAAATCAGAAAGTGTTAAATCTTCAGTAAAATGTAGTTTCCCACATTTTTTTAAACTTAAAACTTACTACTTGACAAATCATTTGAAATATGTTTAATGCACAATGCAAACTGCAAGAAGCTGGACCTCTGGTTCAGCCAAAAGATTGGAAACTACTATTAAAGCATTATCTATTATAGCCTGAATCTAACTTGTACTTATTCTTCAGAGAGTACTGCTAGCACGTGCTACAAGACATTGTAGACAACTCCACTTGTAATGCTCCTGTTTAAACTCTGATTAGAAAGCCATCGCATAAGCAGCAGATGTAATTAAAAAGCTTTAGAAAGAAATTTTCCAGGTATGTGCAAAGCAAACAGAGAATGAAGCCACTGTGGAATCTCCAGACATATTCTTTAAGAGCTATGCAGGGTATCTAAGAACTCCAGAGACACTTCAGTGTTCTCAACACAGAAAAATAGGGTGACACTGACAAATTCCTACACTTCATTTTGGTCAGAGAGCCAATTCTCTGTGATCACAAACAATTCTTCACTGAACTTGACAGATTTCCTAGAATTCTGAACACTGAGCACCCAGAAGTCTAAAAAGCATTAATGTCTTATTTAATAAACATCTTCCTCACTGTGCAATGACGTATCTGACCGTATGCAAAGTAACTGCCTGCTTACGTTTCAATCTTCAAGTTAGAGCAGAACTAACAAAGCATGAAAAGAAATTCATATACCTTGTGTTCAAGCCACAGGCCACCTATAAATAAAACAAAAATTCATAAGACACAGATGTATTTGGAGAATTTTCCTCCAATTCACAAAAGAAGATTACTGCGCTTTCAAAATAGCTCAAAGATTAAACTTCCTGCCTTCATTTCACAAGACCGTAGGAAATAAAGCTGCTGACATTATTATTAACGTGAAATAAGTAAGTAAAAGAGCAGCCAAACATACAAAAAAGATATTTCTTGGACTATGGCTTATCCTTTAATATTATATTAAGGAAAAAAAAAAAAAAATGAAAGCATTGAAGTAAAAAAAAAATATTACTGATTAAAGAATGACAGTTCTGTAATCATTTCAGACCCTTGTAAATATTCTAATGCAAGACTGTTTTGTAGTTTTTGGTGAGAGAAACCTCTTAGGATACTATTACAGTAAGATTTAAATACTCTGTATTTTGATTTTTTAGCAGTCAAACTGTTTTGCACATCTGACAGGAGAACTATCAAAATAACTCCCTCTGGCACGAAGGAGGTTGACTTTCATAGCTGTCAGCATAATATGCAAGGGTTAAATCAAAAGCTGTATAGTCAGTATTAGTTTAATCACTTCTAAATGTAAAGAAAACAGCACCTACTGAATTCACTACGTGTCACCGATAATCTTTAAAGAAAGCTTGTCAAGTGTTTCCAAAATGAAAAGTACCCTTATAAAGAAGCGGAGTGTCAAGTAATTTTTGTCATTGGCTAAATTTGCTTTTCCTGATCCAATCTTTATCCCACTACGTAACGTATCAAGCGCTACACAGGATTTGAACCCAGCTATACCACTGATATCAAGTGAGAAGAAAAAAAGAAAGAAAAAGATCATCACCTCCAGGAATTGCTGAGGATCACATTCATGAACTAGCTTCTCACAGTCGTTCAAAAGATTCTCAATGGTTTTCTTGTGAGTTTCTTTCATTTTCTTCCAAATCTGAAACTCTTTCTCCTTTTTACGCCTTTGATTTTCAAGATCTTCTGTCAACTGCTGTTTCTTCATTTCCAGAGTTTTGGAAATTTCTCCAAATGCCAGCGCAATGATCTCTGCTTCATTGTTCAGCACCGTCTAGAAGCATGAAAACATAACAGATGACGATGCAACAGCAACAACTACACAGACCAATGTCTTTAAGTTCAGGATGCATCTGTGCCACATAAAGTACCAGCACGCTGTGTTGTGCTTATCCTATCACAAAAACCAGTGTTGTTGTCCAGCTATTACATGAAACCATCAACTTAGAAAACCAGCACACGTAACTCACATCAGTATCATCTGCAGGACTGGAGATCTCATTCGTCAGCTTCTCATTTATTATTCTCATTTCTTTTAGACTGCTGAAGAAGTTCAACTGGAAGGCAACAGCAACACTTAGTATGACTTCAACAACCCCATAAAATAAACACGTTAAGAAGCTGTCTAGAACCACATCACGGGCTACAGCATATAAACAAAAGCGGTGACTCACTGACAACATTTACTGCTTTTTAGTAACGTTTACTGCTTTCCCGGTGCTTTTGTTACGTTCAAGTAGCGTTTTCAGGCTCACCTGCTCCTCCTGGTACACTGTGTCGATCAGGTTGATGGAGTGAAAGACGCCCTGGTGCTCCTCAGACACGCACTGCCCGCACCCCGCCTGGCGGCACATCCGGCAGTACAGCTGCAGCAGCCGGCCCGGGTGTTTCTGACAGCTTCCCCCGGCCCTGGCCGCGTTCGAGCGGTACAGCCTGACCACCTCGGCCAGCGTGGTGTTAACGGGCAGAGCGGCCGCGCCGCCGCGAGGCAGCGGGCAGAGCTTCCTGCACAGCGGGCACGACACTCGGGCCCCCGCCGCGTCGTCGCCGTCCGCTCCTTGTCCCTGTCCCCCCCGCGCCCCGCGGACCTGCCCGTGGCCCCGCTGCTGCAGCCGGGCGGCCTCCGCCGAGGCCAGACACTCTAACACGCAGCCCCGGCAGAAGTTGTGCGAGCAGAGCGGCAGCGTCACCGGCTCCTCGAAAAGGGACAGGCACACGGCACACGTCAGACTGGCCTCCATCTGCGACGAGCAGAAGAGCGACCGGGGCCGCGGCTCCATCTCCGCTGATCCCGGCTCTCCCCGCTGCCCGCAGCTCCGCTCCGCGGGCCCCGCCGCCATCCAGCCGGCGGCAACGGTAACTCCCGCCCACTGCAATCGCCAACTTCCCCGGAAGTGGCACGGGGCGGAGAGGAGGCGGGGCACGGAGCCGATTGGGGGAGGCGGGAGATTGGCAGGCGCGCCGTCCAAACGGAGCGGGGCTTGGGCCGCTCGCGAGAGGCCCTTTCACGCGACGCCTGCCGACCGTTTCCCCTGCCGCCGCCATTTTGTGAGCGTTTGCCTTCGCGAAGTTTTCGCCCTGGCCGTCGCAGTGAGGGGGTCGGTGCGGGGGGATTTGTGCTTGAGGGAAAAAGGCTGCGGTTGAGAGAAACGTTTTCCCCTGCATCAGCGGTGAGGTGAGTTGGTTACCTTTAATTACGCTTGCTAGACTGTAGCTCAAGTTTAGCGTTTCGTTAATGCTAATTCTATTGATAGCAAGCTTATTGCCTTCTTTCTTTTTGGGTAGGCGGCTTCCTTTTTAGAACCATTCAGTCTAAAGTTCTGCCTCAATGATTCTATTTTCTACCTCAAGTGTTTTGAAGTTTCTCAAACTCAAATGGGGCCCGACTAAAATCTCAAGTTTATGCCAAGTTTTATGGCGTGAGTGTTTGTGAAAGCCGAGATACGCTGGAAATGTGTTGTTTTCAGAGGGGAGGTGGTGCGGTAGCACCAAGTCGAACACGTATTTGTTGTAATGGTAGTGTTTTGTTCTGTAACACTGAGCCCTGCTGGCAGAAAGTCACGGTGCCTATTTGGATCTGGAAAGTTCCTGAAGTGTAATATTACCTTATTTTCCCATACTTGCAAGTCTGTTGTCAGAACCGATAGAGAGGAGACACAAATACACGTGCTAGGCAGTTTAACGGATAGCCTGCAGATAATTTTATGAAGGAGCTTATCTTTGGGTTTATGGCTTTGTTCTACGCTTCCTGGGCTGTGGTGTGAGTTGTCACAAAATGTCCTCCTCAGCGTCTGTGAACCTTTGGGCAGGAAGTGTTAGCCGTTGTGAGCCGGCTCGGAACTCACACTGCGAGGGGCTTCCGATGATTTAAATGACAAAGGCGCAAAGGTTTGCTGATTTACTCCTTTAGAGTGGAAGTTCTCTGCAGAAAGCCATGAAATGCCTCACCTTCCCATGATTTCTTTTTTTTCCTCATCAAAACAGGTGTGAACAGAATTGAAGGATCACTACGTCCCTTGTCTTAAGGTTTTGGAGTGTTGCATGATTAAATAATAAACATGTGCTTACATCAAGTACTTTTACCAATTCTACCATTAATTTACAGTAATAACAGTAGCGGAAACATTAGTCTGAAATAGGGGTAAAACCATGTTCCTGACAACGTTTCTTTACGTTTTTCTTGTCTGAAAAAAAGATTTAAAATTGTCAAATGTTTAGCACTGATTTTCCTGTTCTTTTGAGTAGATTAGATACCTCCCACAATTACAATGTGTTGTGTATAGCTTGAATTTCCACTTAATTTATACAGTCTTCAGAATCCATCATCTTCTTTCTTAATAATCTTCAACATCACCAGCACAGATAGCAAGCAAAGCACTCTCATAATGCCCTGAAGCAAAATGCTGCAAGAGAGGGGGGGGGGAAAAAAACCTGTGACTGTATTTCCATACTGGTTTCAGCTGGGAGAGTTGATGTTCTTGATATTTTCTGTTATGATGCTGAGTTTTCTTTTTAAAGGACAAGTGTTTTCCTTTAGCACACTGTTTTAGTTGTTTGCTTAGCAGTATTGCACAGAACCAAGGACATCTCAGTTTTTCAGCTTCTTGTACTGTCCTGTCACTGTGAGGCTGACTGGTACAAGGAGCTGCGAGGGCACAGAACTGGGACAGCTCTGACCTAAACTGGGCAGAGATGAATCTTATAACAGCTTGTGGGATTGCAAAACTGAAGGGAGTTGGCAGGGGGACACAGCCCCTGCTTGGCGGCTAGCTGGGCAACCGTCAGCAGGTAGTGAGCAAGTGCATCCTTTTTCTTTGTAAATATATATATGAATGCAATTATCTTTGCTGTTATTTTTTCCCATGCTCTTCTGTCTTATGTTTTATCTCAAACCACAGTTTCCCCTTTTTTTTGTGTGTGTGTGTCCCTCATCCCGTGAGAAGGGGCAACAAGTGAAAGGCAGTGTGTGGTGCTGAGCTGCTGCTGGGTTAAACCACAACAACTTCACTGCATTTTTTCTTTTGTGTGTGGCAAGGATTGAAGTGTAGTTGTAAGATTTTGTAAAATATTGCAATGTTTTTGTAAGGTTTCTGGGGCAGGACTTGTTAATTTTACATATCTCAGGCTTTGGTTGCTTGGATGCTTACAAGTGATTACCTTGCAAAAAATTTGGGAAGTTCTGTTTAATGCTTCTCAATGCCAATAGCAAAAACTAATGAGCAGTTTCCTGCAGCTGTTGCACACCTCACAGCTGGAATATAGCAGCACAAAAAATGCTCAGAGTCTTAGCCATTGTCATTTTTATACTGTTCACCAGTATATCAAAGTTTAAGATGCAGAGCAGGAATTCTAGAGGAAGATTTATTCTGAAGGCTGGGATTTAAACATGAGGATAAGACCAAAGGTAACAGGAATCTGGTGTTAGCCTTGCAGGACAGTGCAAAAGATGGCATCAATTAGTGTAAGAAACATTTTATGAAAAATATTTCTCAGAGTATTCTATTCTGTTCTGTTTTAAGTATCACTCCTGCTACTGGGGAGAGACAAACATAAAGGCTTGAGAATTTACAGCTTATTTACCTAGGTAAGCCTGAGACATTGAGAATGTATATTGTGGATATTGTATTTTTTTTTTTAATCCATGGGGATTGAATGGATTTTTCTGAGAGGGCTCTGCAAATAGTTTATATCCTGAATATATCTAGAAGTGATTAGGAACTTACTTTAATATCATGGAAGAGCGATTTCCCATATCTCTCTTTGTATCGTTGTCGTATAGTCATCAAGTCAATTTCACTCCTGGCTATGAGAATCCTTATGACTGTTTTATTGTGGAACCCAAAATCCTAAAAAAGAGAAGAATACATGAAAAAACTAGGTGAGCATCTATTGCCCATCTGTGCATGGCTATTTTAGTTCTTTGTGATAGACAATTAATTAGGCCATCCAGGAAGGTACTTAAGGTTTTAAATGCCTAACTGTTCAGAGGCTTTATTCTACAGATATCATCATGCCTGAATAATGGAATTCACATCTGTGAGTAGGTATTCTCCATATGTGAGTGTTTTAACTGTACAATGAAGATTTCAAAAGGAAAGTTAGAAACTTTATCCAGTAGCTGTAGATAACCTGTTGTACAATTAGCTGTTGTGACATTGTGGAGTGCATTGATACTGTATGGAAGTCAATAATCTGTTTCACAATCTGTTTCCCCCATGTGAATTCAGTGAGATTTTCTGAATCAATGACTGAACGTACGTAACTTGTATTTTGCTGTTCTTTTTTAAGGGTTTCTCAACAAATATTTGTATTGTAACAGTGTGGTGCACGAAGGCATCCAGTGGTGCTTAAAGTCATCAAAACAACTTTGAGGTCCTGATGACTTGCTGAGGTTGTGTAAAGCCAAACTGGTAATTCTATGATCTGTTCCTTCATATTGAAATCTCTTTACCCAGAAGGCAAATAGTAAGTGATAATAATCAAGCTGTTTATGGAGAATTTGATGACCCTTAGATGGCTGGATTGAAACCTCTCCTGTAAACCACTGTGATTTCAGACATGAGAATCCATTGTGGATTTGATTGTATTGCAGTGCATGTGCAGAAAGCTTTTGTTGTAGTGTGGGCATGGCCTGGCTGCCAGAGTAGGCACAGATAAAATCGTGTGTTTGTTCCAGGAGTTGTGCATTGGCTAAAACAGTTTGTGAAAACAGGGAGAGATGAATTAAAACAGGATGCAGATGTTTATTCTTAATCCTTCAAAACTTTTTCTAGTTGCTTCAGTGCTTCACCCACATTTTCTGTAATCGGTCTCCACAGGACCTTTGAGAAACGTCACTTTTCCTGTAGCTGGTACTTTTGGCAAACTTTTTTCGTGTCATATGCCAGAATCCTCTGGGCAATTCAATTTATGCCTCTTCCCAGTATGCTCAGGATTTTCCTTTCCTTTCTCTGCTGTCACCTGTTGCAGGTTTAGTTAAAACAGGTGGCAGTAGTGCTGCAAGAGGACGCTGGGGCTCTGCTTAAGTGTTGCTGAATGGTTTTGCTCTGTGGTTTGGCCTTGAATCTTATCTTTTGCCTTCCCTGTTCTAAAATGATTCTTAATATTTTACCTGTGGCATCTTTTCTGGTGATCTCCTGTAGGTAACATTTAGAAGATTATACTTTAAAGATTATACATAAGAGATTGAACTTGATTTTTTTTTTTATGGAAGATAAAATCTTATTTTCACTAATGAATGAAAAACAAAGGAAATGTCTTCACTTGCTGCTTGTAGGAATAGATTGTAGGTGTTTCTTTGCGTTTACCTCCATTCTTCTTGGCATTCACATGATCTAATGTGATAGTTTTTATACGCCAAGAGAACAGAACCTGCAAATGTTCATAGAGCCACACAAGAACATATGACTATTGGTTTTCAAGTCACACTAATTTATAATGCAGTTTGTATTATTTATTAAATTTTGAGGGGGGAAATAATGCGTGGTACAAGAAGTGCACATTTAGTTCTGAACTGCAGGTGGAACTACAATCCAAAGAAAATAAGAGCTGTTTTAAAAAAAAACACAAGTATTACTAAACAGCTCTCTGAAGGAATCTAAATGTTTGAATTACTGGTGTTAAATTCTGTTACGTTCCACTATGTGGGTACTACTGCTTTGAAATGTATTCACGTGCCTAAAGTGTTAAAGCACGCAGTCCCACGTCAAGGATTGAACAGATTGGTTTGCAACTATTTGTTTAAGTGTAAGGGAGCAAACAAAAATAGGGAGCTATTTTTTGTGTTACGTGGAGAAGAGCGGCTACTTACATGAATTGCATGATGGAGTCTGTAGGCGAAGTAGGAAGGCTTGTCACGGACACAGAGAACTAGGAAAGAGATGTTACTACAGGTAAATAGGAAAATATGGTGAAATCACTCTTGTTAGCTTTTGTAGTGCTATCCACAGCTCAACACTAAATTCAGGTCCCAATCCATGGCTGTATGCATCAGTTATAAAACTCTGGTACTTACTTGAGTTTAGCATTCCTTACATAGAAGGGCTTACTAAAAATCAGTGCATGCTCTCTTGTGACATGTGTGTAGAAATGTTATTAATCTGTAAATGAGCACATGAAGCTTAGAACTTGTTTGCATATCAGTTATGTCCTGAAAAATTTACAAATACAAGGCTGGTTGTGGCTCTGGGCAGCCTGGTCTGCTGGTTGGTGACACTTGAACATAGCAGGGGGGTTGAAACTGGATGCACTGTGGTACTTTTTAACCCAGGCCTTTCTGTGATTCTTTGACTGATGTAAGGTGTGTGGAGTCAGTTGCTAATGCATCCATCATTGATGACGCCGAGTTCCTTATCAAATAAAGAACAGATAGTAGTACTGCTCAGTCACAATCTGGTGCTGCACACGTACATTTCTAGATTTACATGAGCATGGAACAGAAGTTCTGTTCAAATATGATTTCTAACGATTTCTGAACTTTGAATCAAACAACGTAGCAAAGTGGAGAAGAGTATCAGAGAAAGAAAATTCTTTTTATGTCTGATTCGTCATCTAGATATTAAGTGTATAATAATGTGTTGTGTACCTATTGCAACCAGTAATTCTTGAAAATATCCATCGTAGCAGTCATTGATGGCATCTACTAGGTCTTGCCCAGAGATACTTCGGAACTCCTGGAAAACTTGGAGGAAGAGAAATCTCACTTGATTCCAGTTCATTAACAGTTCATTCCTCTCCCTCCCCACCCTCCTGACGATAATGCTTGACTGGGTTTTTTTCCTATTGATTTGTTCCCAGTGTTTCCTTAAGTCCATATCATGCAACTAAGGCAATCTAAACGAGTAGTCTGAAAGCTGGCTTCCAGGACATTCTCTTTCTAGGTTCTCTGGTATGCGATTTAAAATAAATGCACAGCAAAGTGTGTTTTTCACAAATAATAATAATTAATAAATACTCCTGCATTTTCTGTTTATGGAACTTGTAAGAATTGCAGGTCAGTAAGACACGTCCCATGCTTCGCTTGGCTGAAGCTGGCCAAATGTTCATAGATCATGAGAGGCCATCACACAATATGCCTAACGTGTCTCTATGCAGACATGGGCATTGTCTGGGCTTAAATAGGCACCAGTACAGTACATGCTTACTTAAGCCTTAGGAAAGCAGGGGATTTCTGGTCACTGCCAGCTGTAAAACTTTCAGGGAACTACGTTACAGGCAGAACCCTCAAAGTCTTGTGCAGTGGGGGAATAGTAGCATGGCCAGGTGTTACGTTAGTTCATCCCATGATCACCATCCTTACAGAAGTCGTGACAGAATTACTTGCTTGATTCATGACACCACAGTAGTTTTGAGCTACTGTTAGAAGTTGGCAGAAGTACAACTGCCTGCGCAATGATAAACTTGTCACCAAGCAGACTTTTCCACAGCAGAACAAAACACATCCCAAACATGTCATCAAGCAGATGAGTTTCTTAACTGCAGTGGAAGATTTCCTTTTTTTTTTTTTTTTTTTTTTTTCTATCTGTAATTATGCCTGACTATGTAGTTTTAAATAAAAGCATCCTGTTATGTTTCTGTGTGTCTGTGCTCTTTAAGAGAGAGCAGATGTGGACTCTGGAAGTCTCCCCCTTCAAAACATGTTTGAAACTTGCAGTCATGAGGCAGAGTTCAATTTAGCATTCCTTCCAAAATCCCATTAATGTCAGTGAGATTCTGAGGGCTCCAAGTGTTCACAGTTATGGTTCAGGCTCATATTCTGCTGCTCACTGAGCTTGATATATAAACCGTGGCCTTATTAGCAAGTCAGATTTTTCCTTTACGCTGTATGGTCAAAGAGCACTGGGTTACCCATCCACAACTGCTGGTAACTCCTGTTGCACAGGATCATTTGCAGCATGTTTTTGTGTTCGCCTGTTCTCTGCTGACAGGCTTCCCATAGAATCTATTATACCAGAAAAAGAAAAAAATGCAGAAGATATTAAATAATTCTGAATCACTTTTCAACATTAACATTTACTCTTTTTTTTAATGTGAGACATGCCCATGTCTGCCTGTTTTTACCATTGCATCCTGAGCAGCTGTAGCAGGATCTGCATATCCTTCCATTCTTGTTCCCTGGGGGGGGAAGAAAAACTAAGTTATGTTTCACTTCTTGAGATATATGTAAGAAAAACACTGAATCAATAGAATAGTTGAATTGGTAACTGTGGAAAATATCCTCAAATTTCAGTTTACAGCTTCATGTCTTCTGAACAGAGGAAACTGAAATAGCAGACTGTGTTATGAGGGGAAAAAATCGTGGAAGTGGATAAACTTGCCCCGTAAACCCATCCCATTATTAGTCTGATGTTAAGTGACATTTTAGCACCTCCCAGTGCTGTGAGTGCTCTATTGTTTACTGTAACTATCAGAAAAGTAAGCAGAAGGGTAGCATTTACCATTGACTGCTTGTTTCCTATCAGTGTGTGTATTGCCAGGAGAATCTTTTCTCCATCATTGTCTACAATTAAGGTCTAAGTCTAAAAACTGTTTGACAACTTTGCTATATAAGCCAAAGAAGAGCGCTTAGGACATTGCCATGTATTTAGTAGCTTTTCAGTTATGTAAAGCAAGATGATGTGTTTTAGTAAGCACACTATGATATGAATTACATAGCTGTTAGAAAAAGGAAAAAGCACACACATTCAGGAATTACTTTTTTAACCTTAATTGTCTTCTAAGGATACGAATCAGCCCTGATTGCCAACTCTTCAGTAGTCTCAAGCTATATGCTGCCATTGCCTTAATGATATGCGTTTGAAGCAACTTACTTGAGAGTTTACAATTGCTTTTCTGTGCATGTGATCGTGAGGATTGAAATTATGCATCATCTGTCAACTCTTGGAATGAGTGCTTTGTAGTAATTTGGAATTTCCTGTTAAAAGTGTTCAGTTGTATTGCAGTTGAATTGTAAGAGTTTCATGTAGCTAAGAGCAGTTTTCCTGCTAAGAAGATAAATTACCTGAAGGAAATCATGCTGGGGTGACCACGTAAAGTGACGTGGGAGCAGGGGAAAAAGACAAGTGGGCAGCAAGATGCATGGTGCTCCATGTAAGGTAAGTGCTTGCTGCCTCCAGTACTGATTGACAGTGACTCATGTTGGCACAGTTAGCTGGTGAATCCCATGCAACACCTGATCATTTTTAAAATACTGGAAAATGATTCTATTTCAGTTTGTACACAGCAAACAGTGTAAAAATCTTCTCTTTATCATGCGATAACATTGATTAACGTGAAGTTGTAACTTGTAAAATTTATGTAGGGATTACTGTTTCAGAATCATTTCCACTCAGAGGATTTTGCTGGTATACATTCATTGGTAGCAGATTTCTGTAGATTCTGATTTGCCTCGGTGTTCATATCAAAACCACAGTTACTGTGCTAAAGCAATTGAACAGTTGGTTACCCGTGTCTGAAACACAGTGGCTGCTGTTTGCGGTCACATGTGTGCCTCATCAGCCCAGAGATTTACTAGAAATCAAAGCAGTGTGTTTGCAAAAAACCCCAACAACCTAAGGATACATTGGAAATGTTGCTTTAGAATAATTTTCTGTGAGTTACATAGCATTGGAACTGATGAAATATCACTGACTTATAATATAGACTCTGTCCAGACATGGATGATTCAGTCAGCAGTCTTCAAAGATACACAGTATAGGTTAGTAAAATTGCAATTTCCTACAACCATTCTTTATCAAATAGCAGTTAGACTTCCTTAGCTGTGAAATGGCTGATATCAGGTATCTGTATGTGTATAGAAAATAAGGAGCAATGAGTTAGTCTGGTGTTGTTTATTTTAAAGTTATTCTCTTTATATGTAAAAATTTCTCATGGGTTTGGTAAAGGGAAGAAATTGCCTAGATTTAAGCTGTTGAATTTGTAAGCATGTAGGAATTTTCGTTATTAGGGGAAAAACCCTCCAATGTTAGTTAAAATATTTCCCATTTCTGGTTTCTACCTTTGAAACATTTACTCTTAATGTCTGTGCTGCAGTGAGACCTAATGTCTTTTCAGATCTTAGGAACACTTTCCCCAAACATGCAAGCATACATAGAAATGTAAATGCAATTCGTGTTGCTGCCATTAGTTTTGTCATCATCTGTTACTCTGGTTTGCCATACATTCTAAAGGTAATGAGCATGTTGACTGCCATGAGAGCAGGAACTTGTGTTCCCAGGAAGATCACTACTGCAGTTTGGTAATGCTGAGTCAAACCTGCTGTGTGATTGTAGTTCTTTTGGCTGCATTCTTGCGTACTGTGATTTAGCATAAGTATCAGTGCAAATAACATAATGCTTAAAAGAAAGAACTGCCTGGTGCTGTCTTTAATAGACGTGTGGCTATGTCTGCATTTTTCACGTGCAGGCTGGATGTTGAGTTGTCAACTTTAAAAATAGGAGAAACAGAGCTTTAAAAACAAAGTCTAATTTGTTCTTGGCTGCAGACTCCTTTAGAAATGAAACTGGTGGAGTCAGCACTTGTGTATCCTGGGCCTTTCTAATAAAACGTTGATCTTTGCCTCCATCTGAAAAATGAAGTTAAAGTAGACGGAAGAATTCCAGCTCTCTTCCTCCTCTACTCTTTCCACTCTCTTGTTCAGAAGCGTACTCGTGTTGAGCTGACTTTAGCTTTACAGTTTAAAACTTCGTGAATTATATTAGAAGTCACTCTAAATTTTTTTTATATGCGTGTCATATTATTTATTGTATTTACAGTACCTGAGCGAGGTTCATCAGAGTATCTCTGAAGTGACCAGAAGTCTCAGAATCAATATCTTGCTGAAGATCACTGTTGTATTCTGGATTGAAACAAAAACGTGTCACCTAAATACATAAAAAATGAACGTGCTCTGAATGTTGCTTATGAAAATAAGCAAACAAGGGGTAAATAGGGGGCACATACACACTCGTTTTCTAAAGGTATTAAAAATCATTCCACAGGAGCTCATGCAGGTTCTGCAAGGACCTCACCACAGAGGGATTCCTCCCTGCCAAGGCCTCAGCCACCTCAGCAGCTCGCTCATCCTCCTGCCTGCGCTTGGCAGCCCTGCGCCTGCTGCGGCTGTGTGACTGTGGGATACTGAGAAGCTCCGGCTCAAGGGAGGTGAGTTGAGTATTCAGCCCGGGGAAGCACTTTGTGAGAAAAACAGTTGATGCACTGGGAAAAATGTGTACCAAAGTTTATGAAAATCCCCAGATGTGGCTGCTGGCTATTTAAAACGTACTAGGCAGCAACACATCTCCAATTACTTTGAGATACATTCAACTTGATTCATTTTGCTTCAGCTTTTTAAATATAATTATGAAGGGGGAGGAAGAGGGAGGGAACCGTGCTGAGAAGTCACTTTGGTAATTTAGTTCCTTCGCTCGTGCTAATCCAGCCTAATGCACATACTAGAGCTGCTGTTGTACACTGGTAAAATACATTACGTGTTAAGTAGGCTTCTTTCATCTGGAATATCTCCATATTTGACCTTGAGGCTAATATGTCAATTAGACACTTCTCTTCTGTGTTTACTCCCTGTGCAGGAGGAAGTAAATTTGAAGTCATTAGGAACCACAGCTTTTAGAAGACAGAACTGCTTTATTAGACGTAACAAAGGACTTAACAGTTTCTTCTGGAGCAGTGTATGGTGTGCCTTTGCTTAGTGTGCCTGTTCAGAAAGAAATTGACTTCAAGTTAATAGTAGCAACTTATACAACAAATACGCTCCTACTTAATTTGGATTTCAGAATATCTGTTAGTAAGTGGGGAAAGAAGCAAGACTGCTGTTGACAGAAACACAATGGGAAGAATTTTAGAGCTTGAATAAGAACTTAGGGGTTACTGAGAGAAATCAGACGCAAAGATTGAGTATACGTGCCAGGAAGCGTTCAAGGCAGTCTGAAGTGGATAAGAAAACCAGTTCTGGGATGTGCCTTCCCACCTTGAGGGATTTGGCAGTTCAGGAATTTCCTGAGCAAGTATTTGTAAGGAATGATTATTTTTAATAACCAAGAGTAGAGTTGTTTTCTAAGAATTTTTCAAGTCCTTTTTGATTCAGTTGGTACCAATTTGTGCTTTTGGTTTTAATATTGCCATGCAGCACTGGATTTCACCATTTAATTGCACAGTGTTTGAACAAAAAAAAACAAAAAAAAGCAAACTAAACATTTAAAAAAAACTTCTTATATGTCAGTGTACTGTGAAACATCTTTCTAGCAGTTTATCAAACATTTAAATAGATTAAAAATCACTTGATCGTGTATTAAGTAATATAAACAGTGACCGTGTGTCTGAGTAGCTGTTAATTGGGCCAATACCTTCAGTGCATGCCAGAGCTCATGGGCGTCATAGGATGCAGGTGGATACATGAGGCCAACCATGACTTCTTTGAAGTGATGAGAGAGATTGTCTTTCAGGTCTGTCATCAAATCCTTAACAAAAACACATAGGATTAATTCAGCAGTCACACTTCGTGAAAAGCAGCTTAAAAATATTAGCAGTTTTCTTTGCGAAGGAATGAAGATGAACTGTCTGAGATGGAGTTACCTAAGATGAGGCAACAAATCTTTTAAAACAGAATCTATTCCTTTTAATAGTACTTGTGACATAGCAGTAGACAGAGAAGCAAGTAAACTATATAGATTGGTTGGTTTTTGGTTCATTGGAATACAGGAAAAAATTTAGGGGTTCAAATGCAACTGCTCCTTAAGGGCTTGGAAATGTGAATGCCACAACAGAGCATTTGCAGCTTCCCATGGCAGATTCCCTGTCTGAATCTGCAAGAGCTGAGCCCTCAGAAGTTAAATCCTGTAACACACAGCAATTTCTTTCCTTTCTTCTGGGCTATTCACCATGTAAATAATATAAAAAATCATTCTTAAAAAATCATCCCAGTACGTAAAACTACCTATTCTGGTTTACTGGAAGGCTATGTGCTCCAGTTTATATATATAAAATGTTCAAAATGAGTTTGCTACTTTGGACAGATGTTGGTTTAATAAAAGGGAAGCCTCCTCACTTGCCTGGGATTTGACTGACTGAAAAGAGTTTCCTTCCCACTCTCCCCTTTCCCAGCAGCATCCCTTGAAGCATTGCAAATGCCAAAAGCCTGTTGGCTGTGTCTCATTAAGAGGATACTTTGCTGGTTCTTGTACAGTTCTGGGCAGCTATCAGATAGGCTCTGACCGAAGTCTGTAATTGTAGGAATACCAGAAATGATTCCTGTGATACAAACTTCACTTATTGGAGAGGTTTTTTTCCAGCCTGTACTTTAGCTTTGATGCATATCTTAATATAATAAAATCAGTTGCTAAACTGGGAATGAACGAGGACAAATACAGATTAAATATTGGATTTGTGAGGGAGAAACACACGATATTCACTGTATGCATTTTTTTTTAGTTGTTTTAGGTCTGTGAGCACTAGCTTTATAGGGATGTAGGTTAATTGGCGGTGGCTGAAGGAGACAAATTAATTGATAATGTGTTTTAATAAGGATTTAGGTATTTCTGTCATACTTCTAGTCTGGATTTAAAAAGAAAACCCAAGCAGATAATTAGTGAGCAAATCAATAGTTCTTTTGTGCTCAGAGAAAAATGGCAGACCTAACTCCATTTCTGACAGATGGTTGGCAGTTTCTTCCTAGCACATCGTTAGTGATATCCTTGGTCATCTCTATGTATGAAAGAAAGAAATTAAAAATGAAAAAATGACTTTTTTCATGGGCTTTTGTTTCAGTGGGCTTTTTTTTGTTGTTGTTAAAATGCTAGGTGTAGTTAAAACATGTGAGAGAAAAGGTTAAAGGAACATTTTGTGAGAAAGACCAAGGAATGAAGTGGTGAAAAACTATTAGCAGCCTACTGGAAGTCTCTGCTCTGGTCTTTGTGCTGAAGAGGAGGAGCATAGTTTGAACTGGCTTTTTTTTTTTTTTTTTTTAAGGAAAGACAGCAATGCCATCTGTTTTATTTTTTAATGCATTATTCTTTTGTTCTCTTCTGTAAATATTTGGGTCAGTGAGTCTCTTGCTATGTTTTCCAAAATATTAAAAAAGTATTTGACGACCACTCCAAAATGGAGGAAGAAATCAGTCTTTCCAAAAATCCTTGCTGGAATGTACGTATGGAAGAGGAAACTTGGCACGTCCTTTTTTCTGCCTTGTTTTGTGGCAGACGCTCTGCTTTGTAAATGACATTTAGAAAGCTTCAAATGCATGCATGGTTACATGCACAAAGTTGCGTGCCAACCTTTTGGTGCCAGGCAGTGGTTTGCCAGGTTTCTAATTGTATTGGTGACCTGAGAGAAAGGCTGACCAGCTGTACTGGAAGCAGAAGGGACAGAGGTAAGGAAAGAAAGCACAGCTTGGTTCTGTCATACCCTGCCATACATGTCTCTGTATGCCTCAGCAATCATGAGCCGCTGTGCATTGCAGCGCTGTGTGAGGATGTCAATCAGCACGTCTTTTTCACAACCTGCAGATAAACCAGACGCAGATTATCAGTTAGCAAATTGTTATTTATTTAGGCTTCTGATTTTCCTGTTTTATTCAAGAATATAAACTAAATTTCTTGAGGGGAAAAAAAAAACAGACCAGCAAATTGCTATTCTGCCAGTATTTACTGAATCAGTTGTATGTGCTTTGCATGCATGTCTTTCACTTGCTGTTGTACTATCAGCAATTACTTAAATATTCTGTTATTATCAGATACATTGCTGTATGGGAACTGCTGTGTCACAGCCTGAACCTCTGATCACCTGAGGGGAGCTGTGAGTCAGCCAGAGGAGCACAGGTGAAGGCAATTCCTAGACCTGTTTAAGAGCTGGCTACCAGTGGGGAAGGATCTCTGCTGGAGTTTTGTGAGTGAGCCCAGGATAGGGGTAAGCCTTCTGTTTATTCTCCTGTGTTATCACAGTCTGCTTTGCCTCACTCTCTTGTTTATTTTGTGATTATAACATCCTAATATTCTTTGATTATACACATCACCGTCTCTCTCAAGTGAAATGGATTTGAAGCCATCCGTGGAACAGATCCCAGCTTTCATCTGTTCAGAACTAGGCACGATAAAAGCATTTGTGGCCGAGCCATATTTGTATGCCTTCCTGATATTGATTAAATTGTCATTTGAGGATTAGGGATCTCTTAAATGGGAATGACAAGTTACAGTGAAGAAATTTGTTGGACAAATGAAAGCTACGTGTTTTCAGAGAAACTACAGAAATTAAATTATGAAGTTTTAAAGAATATTTTATTTTAAAAATCAGTTTCTGAGTGCAATTATTATTACAATAACTGCTCAGGAAAAAGAAGTTGATGATTAACATGTTTTGAAAATTATTTTATCATTTTTGAATTTTTTCTATCCCAAAAGATGGCTCTTGGTTACTTCAGGTAGTTCAGTGTTTCAGTGTCATTCCAGCAGAATCATGTCTGCAAGCATAAATCAATTTATTTTATTACACTTAGAGGTAAGTTTGGGTACAAAGCATGGAGATCAGCTAGCATCTCACTAGAGAAAGATACTTGGATGCTTCTACAAATCACTGTTCTGTATGCACATATAGATAAAAGCTCTGTATTTTTCTAAGCTTAGGCTGATTTTGTCATATGATCTACGAGTGGTGGGCTCCATTTTGGCACAAATGTAATTGGATATTGGGTACGATCAAAATTGTTTTTTATGAAGTTTGCAGATGAAATCTGTCTCTGCTCATTATGCAGGAAGTTCAATAGTTCTTCCTTGTTGTCCGTCTAGCCGAAATTACAGTGGCTTCTTGTGCTACACTGGTTTCATGTCAGTTTGACTCATTGCCATCAAACTCAAAAATGCATGCGTTACTGTATCCCTGTGCCTAAGGCTTTCTTTTACTATTCAGAAGATAATTGTCACTGTCTTTCTGTATAGTTTTACTATAGAGATGGTATAAACTAAGCTGGATTCAAGAAATTTTTAAATGCCTAAATAATTTTACTTGTGGGTTTTTTTTTTTTTTTTTTTTCCAATAATGCCACTGGTATTAATAGGGTAATGTGTGTATGGCAACTGTTGAGTCACAGCCTGATCCACTGATTGATCACCTGAAGGAAGCACTGAGTCTTCTGGAGATCCCTCCTCTGTGGAGCCCTTCCTGTGAACCCAGATCTTTGGATACAGGTGAGCATTCCTTCCCTGTTTGTTTCTTTTCCTATGTTTGCCATGATAACCTTTCTAGCTGTAACACCAACCGTAACCGTAAGTGACTGAACCTCTTCAAGAGAATGAATGTTGTGTGGAGAAAGTGGGGGTGTCAGGACTTGGGAAGACTTGAATTGCTGTAAGCTGAGCATCGTATTTTGCCAGCTCTCTTTGAGACTAGAACTTTGTTTTGTTCTTTGCCAGGCAGAGTTTAAAGTAGGGCTACTGCGTGTGTGTTTACAGCAGTAAATGGAGAGAACCATCCTTATATTGTCACATTAGCAGCATTGCATTAAATGTGCTGGTTGAAGTCTGACAAAGTAAGTACAACTTTGTAATGAACTTAAAGGTCCTTCATGTTGTTCTTAATAATACCCACTTTGTGGTGTTTTGATTGACTTAAAGACTAAAACCTCATTTTTCTGTTCAAGAAACTGAACAGGATGCTGGATTTGCTGCTGTACAGTCTTGTGAAAATCTTAGGACATAAAAAAGAGTTCTGATACAGGCGACAGTCTTAATGTGAGCTAAGTGTTTCACAGGATAATTAAAAAGTAATCGTCCTTAGAATCTTCAGCAATACGAAGTGTGCAGCTGTAAACAAATAAGGAACAGAAAGACTTGTTTTGCTGAACATACTGTGATTTGTAGGCTGAAAGCAAAACTTAACTCCAGAGGGGAAGGTGATCAATGCTGTAAACACTTGTCCATTTGTTTTTATTTCTTGATGACTGTTACTGTAAAAGACATAACAATATCTGCTTCTAGCTGATGTTGGGGTTACAGCTAAAAATGAATCCAGTTTTGACCTTCACTGTAGTGACAAGTTTTTATTTTCTCATGGAGAACATTTGCTATTACCAGTGTTGGTATACATTTCAGGTTAATTTTAATTAGTTCTGAGCTCGTGCAAATGCCTGACTTGCTTGGGTATCACCAGTGAATCTTACCTTGAAGAATCACCACCTATGTGTTGATGTTTGTATTATTGTGGGTATACATACATTTAGTTTGGGTTATAATGTAATAAAAGATGTTAGAATATGCCATGGTACTTACTGATTCCCTGTAGGGCTCCTCCTAGCGACTGAGCATCCATAACAGGGTTGAAATTTGGAGCTGGAAGAATGGTTCCTTGTGTCTGCTAAAGGAGAAAGAAGCCTTTAATTGCAATGCTTTATATTTTTTAACTGCATATATGATTCAAGTGAGAATCAACAACCACATAAGATTAAAACTTTGGCTTTATGGGGAAAAGTATGTTAATTTACAGGGAAGAACTTGTAGCAAGCCCTAGGAAGCCAGAGCGTAGTTAAGCTAGGCTTGAACAAAGAAAATAGGTTATTAATGTGTTTTGTTCTCATTAAAATGTAGTCACAGTTTGTTTCTATTTCTCAAACCTTTCTGAAAATATTCTTCTGTCTTTTGAGGTTAGTCTTTGTTATCCCTGTCAGTCTTGAGTTTCTCTTGATATTTCTAATTTGAAAGGACTGGTGAGAAAATAATCAAGTATGTAGGTTGCTTACCAAGCCAGTAATTTTAAAAGAAATTATGTTGGGATGGAGTGTGGGCTGTCTTTCTGACATGGAAGTCAGCATTATTTCTCTGGTTCCTTTTTAACTGATTAAGTTATTCTCAGTTCGTTCCCAGTGATACTTTGTTTCATACAGTGTTTCATGTTTTGCCAAAGCCGTGAATACAAAATAGAATTGATTTTCTCATTTTAATAGGATCACAGATCTGCACAGGTGAAAATAACTCAGGTTCATCTGCTCTGAGCTCTGTACTCAGTTAACCCCTTCAGCTCTTTGGAGGATTACACCTGCCTTTTCAGGCTCACCCTGCATAACAGTTGTCTTTTGTAATGATTTCTGTTCTGAGTAAATACGTTTGATTAAACTGAACTTGATGACTTGAAACGATCAATAAAAAAATGGGGTAAAACTTAGAAATGAAAATGATGGATTCATACAAACACCTCTTAGAATTAGGAGGTCAACTGATGATATTAATTACTGTGTGGGAACTGCTGAGTTAAGGCCTGAACCTCTGATTGATCACCTGAGGTGAGCCGTGAGTCAGCCAGAGGAGCACAGGTGAAGGCAATTCAGCTGTGCTGCTCCTAGCCCTATTTAAGAGCTGGCTACCAGTGGGGAAGGATCTCTTCTGGAGATCTGCTCTGCTGTTGTTTTGTGAGTGAGCCCAGGATAGGGGTAAGCCTTCTATTTATTCTCTTTTGTTATCATAGTCTGCTTTGTCTAACTCTCTTGTTTATTTTGTGATTATAACATTCTAATATTCTTTGTTTATACAGTTACTGTCTTTATTTTCTTGTTTTATGTTCACTTGAAATGTTTTGTCTATGTTGCCTTCATCAGTAATGACATACACATACTGCTTTAGTGTGTGGTCACTAATGGTGTGCTTCCTTGGCTTACAGTTCTAGTCAAGGATTTAAAAAGCAACAAGCAAGAAGTGGATATGTTTGAAGAGAAGGAAAGCGTAATTTCTCGATACCCAGCAGATAACTGTATGGGCAAACAAATTATTGGTGGCTTAATGACAGAAAGAATGTAGTGTCTGAAATTTAAGGTTTTGAAGGAGTTACTTTGTGTAAGAAAGGAAATATTTGCTGATAGATGAGCATCTTTCTGCAGTTCACTCTTCATTTTAAATACTATCTGCTACGTTTACAACCAAGCATAACATTCAGTGTCATTATACTTGTTAAAAACAATCAGGGAAAATATGATAAGGAGAGCAACTCTGGCTTTAGAGATGAGGCCATGTTAATTTATATAAGGTGATACATCACATTGTACTTAAAATGAATTTCAGACTTATGCTCTAGCTATTTTCCATGCTCTCTTCCCCCTTCAGTCCATGTATCCTGGATCTCACGGCTCACATAACACATCTGTTGGTTGAGATTGGCTTCAGAAATGATTTTTAACCTCACGGCTTTCTGTTTTCTTACAGTACGTGTGCTCTTCAAATGTTGTTCACCAGAAATCCCCTGGACAAGTGCTATTGGCAGGAGTTTGAGTGCTCTTTGACCACGTGGGACATGAGGTGCAAGTTGAGGTAATTATTTTCACTTTTCCTTTGCTAGCATGTCAAGTAATGCTGAGAGTCAAAGATAGTTCTCCCAGGAGGCAGGAATGTGTGAACTCTCTGGCTGATATCTAATGTAACTTGACGAGCCACCCTGAAAGTTACTGATAAACAAAATCACTGTAGAAAGAATTGCTGGAAGACACTGTTAGAATGCAGAATCAAGAAATGTATGTTGATATATGGTCTGAGTTAGAAAAATAGAATTCAGCTATCTGCCTCTCATTCGTGCTTCTCAGAATGTCTGAGCCACTAGAATAGCTCATCAATCTTGAGAAGGAGGAAGTAAGTCCAAAACCAGACTGTTACCAAATATTATGCTAGAACTGCCAAAAGAGAATGGTTTTCTTTAAATGAGAATAATAATGAAGAATGATAGGTTGTGAATGGAATTTGAGTAGCAGATACAAGATTCAGAGGCTTTTAGCTTGGAGTATAAACCTGTGGTAGGAAGGATGAGCTTATCTGACATCCTGTTAAAGCACTCTGTGACCATGTCACTGTACCTGCTGGTCAGAAGGAGAGAGAATCTAGCAGGTGTATGTATTTATGTAAATTTGATTTAAAATAGCAGTGCTGGCTCTTCATTTTGGCAACAGCTGTGGACAGGTTCAATATCCAGAAAGACTGGTTATCTCAGAGTATTTCTTTCACCAACTCAGGTTTGTAGTGTTAAAGCAAACTATCTTTTTGGCATTTATGATGACAAATAAATGAGTGATTTAACAGTGAATTCCAGTGGAGTTCTTGGAACTACATTTTGAAATTTGGATCTCCATGAAACCATCAAAATCAGAAAAGGCATCATATGAATATTTGCAAAATTATAGTAGAGGAATCGATGATAACAACAGTACTTTCAGATATACAGATTTTCAGGCTATTAAGGTTTTTACTCCCACAACGCAGCTCTTGGAGTAAGTCTTTCAGTCTTTGAGGAATTGTTTGCTTCCATGATCTATGGCTAGAGAATTTCTACTGCCCTGTTTTGAAGTAGGGCGTTTATAAGGTTGTTTTAAGTCTAAATTTATGAATGAACTCAATTCTCTGAAGGTTCAGCTGAGCTGCTGCTGCTTGTGAGCATTCACCACCACTGTTTGAGGTTTACCTTTAGCAGATGAAATGCAATCTAGTGAACACCTGTGTCCTACGAAGGATTTGGTTTAAGTCATGATGCTTTTAAGTAGAATCTAATTAAATATGAAGGCTCCTCTTGAGATGAAGCACCTACTTGTTACTCACTTCTAAAGAAATTAAAATTGAATTAGCATTGTTCCGTATTGTACGGGTTGTAATTAGCTCTGTCATCCATCCCACCTAAGACAATTGTGCCAGTGTTAGTCCTGATGAGGATTTTCAGTGGACATCATCTGTGTATTTTCAGGGTTGTTTCCCACCCGATTCAGTGCTCTGCCCATGTTCTCCCAAGTAAAATTGAGGTTTTACAGTTCATACACTATCAGAATCCTCAGAGGGAATTCCTGCCTTTTGATTTCTTGCTGTTGGTGTAAGCTGCAGTTATTGTTGCGATGTACCTTGAGGAAAGTATTCTGCTATTTTGTGTTGTATATGCAGCCTGACCCTTAAGAAAATTGATTCCAGCACAGCCTATGTCAGTTTTATGGAAGTAATCACAAGGTAACTTCAGGTTTTTGCTGAGTTTGTGGAGTCACCCCTAGTTCATCTCCTTCAGGAGATTATTAAACTTACTAAACTTTATTTCACCTGTTTTCATGGAGTGGGTCACAACCAAACCCTATAGAAAACTGGTGATTTTGAGTCTGAACTCAGCATGGTCATGCAGTAACAGCTCACAGATTGCTGTGTGCTGTAGCCATTTCTTTTCTGCTCTGTACCGAAGAATCCCAGTGAGCTGTGTGTCATTGACTGTGCAAGGCAATCCAAGGTAATTCACTGGCAGTGGAGACAAAGATCGGTTTTTGAAAGGTACAGACGTGTCAGTGCCTCTCTGAAGTCAATCCTGTGCAGGGTGTCTGTACCCTTGTCAAAGAGGGCAGAGCCTTAATGCTGTACTTCACAGGCAATAGTGGTGGTCCTGCTGCGGTGACAAGGCACTACAGAGCAAGAGAAAAAGAGGAAAACCTGCTTCAAAAGCAACATGAAAATCCAAGGGGTTGATTTTTCTGAGCAAGTGACTCTTCTCGTGTCCTTTGGCATAGTGTTGTGTGGAGGGTGAAAGCATGGAAGAGATGGTGCAGTTTTAAGTTGTTGACTAAGTTTGATTGCTGCAATCTGTAGTGAGACAGAAGCCAGAGGGCTGTGGCAGGCATTTTGCTCAGTGAAGTTTTGTTGCAATCTCCTAGTAGTTCAAAAGTGCACGTGGTTACAGTCGTAGATTGCTCGATGTTCATGAATACAGTCAGGAAATGCATGAAAATAAAGACCTCCTTGGCAAAGCTGCCAATCTGATTTCGTAGCTTAGGGCCCTAGGGTACGAATCTGTGCTTCCTAGGTAAGTTATTAGAAGGGGTTTGTATGTCCAACCATGCAGAGGTAATGCATGTGTAACAGCGAGGATCAGCACTGTGTATTCAGAAAGGGCAGGGCAGTAGAGGCATTTGTTTACTGGATGAAATTAGAGCAGACTGAATGTTGAACAGAGAGCAGGTAACTGCAGAGGAATTGTTTGCTTCCGTTATCTATGGATAGAGAATTTCTACTGCCCTGTTTTGAAGTAGGGCGTTTATAAGGTTGTGTTTACACCTGATTATGGTTATCGTACTGTTGTTTCACTTCATACATTTTTATTGGTCAGCTGTGATTGACCAATAAATCCATATAATTGAGGAAAGCTCTAAGGAGATGAGTAAGAGGGATATGCTTATGAAGCTCAGTGTTGTAGGAATACATTATAGATAGTGATAATGTGAGTCGCAGGGTTGTGGAACTATAGGGACACAGGGTTGTGTTCTTGTAAGTATATTGTTATATTGTTCTTGTAAGTTGTAAGTATAACTTTTGTTATTTTATATATTTTGTGTAGTTAAATCATAAATGCAGTGAGATTCACTTTTGATCAGGTATATTTTATTGAATGTTAATGTTGTTCTCCCTTGCGGAGTGTCTGAAAAAAACATGCTTGGAAGCCTTTGATCTCTGACAACTTTGCTTATACACTGTATTTCTTTATTTCTGTGACTCCTGAGAAGCAGAGAAAAATTAACAATGCATTCTCATTTTTTTTTCTGCTCACCTTAAAATGGACACTACAGATTACTGAGTTATTCCTATTGTATAGCAAAAGAAGCTGAGGACAGTGCCTTAGAATGGGATACAGACACTGTGGAGCAATAAGAGGCAATACAGAAAGAAAATTTGATCACCCCTTCCCCCAGCAGGTGACTGACTGCTCAACAGAAGTGCAGTGCTTATCCAGATAGATGCTGCTCCCTTGGCTGAGTGAGGAGAGGTGGAGCCAGGATCCACCCCTTCTGCTCACTCAGGTGCACTGCACTGCAAACCAAGCCTTAGTGCTTTCTCTGAACCTGAGTTAAATATGTCTGAGTGTGTCCTATGGCTGCCAAATGAAAGTAATTCAGAGGTTCACAGATGTGAGGGAAAAAAAATACTAATTGACATAGGTGCCAAAATGCAAAACGGATGAGATCGGCGAGAGGGCAAAATGTGTGACAAAAATGAAAGACCTGAGATTCATGCTCCCATTATCTACCGTGGATTTCATGCTTAAATGAGAATTATATTGCTATTTATTGTGAGGAGAAATTGTTTTGCATGTCAGAGCTGCAGCAGTGACTTTGTGGTTTTGTCAGTGCCGTCCAAAGAGAATCCAGAAGTGCTTTATTTTTCTTCACTGAGTTTGGTTCCTTTAAATACAGTGTTCTTAGACTTACAGAAGTAAAGCAGAACAGTGAATTCTGAAGTACCAGAAGGGTTCTTGTAGGTTAAGAAGAGCTGGAATGTGTTTTTGGGTCATTTAACATTTTGTACTAGGACAAGGATGTAATCTATCCAGGTCCTTTCCAAGTTAGCTACTGGCTAAGGAGGAGATGCTTTGTTCTGGCTGAATCCTAGCTTTGTACTATATGACTAAGGGTAAGCCAATGACTTAAATGGCATTGGAGTTGTACCTGCCGTTTGTTTTTAATCAGAAGAGTAAATTGGTTCTTGCTTCCACTGAGCAGTGTTCTCACAGATCTCAGAAAGGATTGTCATTCAGCTGCCAGGTATTACAGAAATTGACAAGTTTGGTGTTACTGATAGGGACGTGTAGATGGATGGTTATAAGATGGCCACGTTTTCTGAAGAAGGTAGGGGGAAGATATCTGGTACAGTTCACTGAAATAATGTGGGAAAACTGTGCAATTTAAAACATTAGTTTAATTTTGATATCGGTGTTCTAACATCCCACGTAATAATAATTTATTTCTTTCTAAGAAAGAAATCTGGGAGATGTCACATCCATGAATCTGGAAGAAATCATATCCACACTCCTAATAGTAAAGCAAACAAATCTCCTGGGGTGGTTCTGTGGTTGTAACTTCAAGGATTTTAACTTGTTTGACTTCAGTATGTTGTTGTATCTTCCTGTGGCCCTGTTGGGCACTCTGTAAATCTGTTTGCTCGTGTATGTGCATGATGTGCATATGTACCTTTTGGAAGTAACTGATTCCAAAGCAGCTGTGCTGTCAGTACAGGTTCTGCAGTACTGGCAGAATTAAATCAAAATGGAGAGCAGACTGAAAAGGAACTGTAAGATATTTATTAAGGCTGAAAAATCATACTTGAAATCTAGCTTCCTTCTGTAGAAGGAAGTTACAACTTTTCCTGACCAAAGCCATAAGAGGTTCAACGAAAGTATCCATTAAAACTGAGGCTGTTTTTATCAATGGTATGATAAGTAAAGTTCAGGCAGTTCCATCTTGTGATGGAAAAAGCAATCTCAAGTATGAACAGCCTTCTAATAATATTTATTCATTAGGTCATTCTGCTGATAGCAAACAATCAAAGTCAGATTCCTTAGTCTCAATGTTTCCCGTGGGAAATACGTACTAAAATAAAATGCTTACTTTAATAGCTAACTACGTGCTATGTTATAGCTATACTTCAGCACCTATGTCCTTTGTGTGCACCTTTGTTATTTAAAAAACTGTTCATAAATAGCTTTGTGTTTTTTCTAAGAGTTATTGTATGCATTACACGTTTTTGGAATTATGGAATAATGTATGAATTGGGAGAGATGCATTTAAATGTAGAGACCTCAGTCTTTCTGCAGAGCATCCTGTCTTTACCTGTATTTGTATTTTAGAGAGGATGCAAATGTCTTTTCTAGTTTCTGGTAGTTGGAACTCTTTGGTCTCTGGTAGTTGGTACTGGGGGAAGGGGGTATTTCCTGTCTCTGATCTTAGATAACGAAGTTGCATAGAGCTGCTGAATCAGTCAGAATTGCTGCTGTGTGTTATCTGCATCTCCTTCTTAGTCTAGGTTGACTCCATCCTGTCCAATATTCCACATACAGTGTATGCAGATGTATTTACAACATAAAGAGTAAGATAATCTTATAGAATCAACTATACTTTAAATACCACTAATTCCTTTTTCATGGTTCTTGCATTTCCAAATCCATGGCACATTAACATGTTGGAAGTCTTTGAAAAATACGTGAAGTGCACTATTTAGACTTAGACTCAATTAAGGTCATGCTTAATGAGCATAGATAAGAAACGAATGGACTCAGCCTCTCACTGCATCCTATGCAGATCCTGCGTTTTCTGCTTGTGATTTGCCCAAGCTCTTAGAAGAGCACTTTTCTGTTGTTTTGTTGCTGAATCTCAGGTGTTGTTCTGTAACTAACTTCATTTTGAAGAGCAAGCAAACATCAGGGGAGGGTGCTTGCTTGGACTCCATGCTACAACTCCCCGTTCTTTCTCCCCTGCTGCAGTCTGCTGTACTGGTTGGGAGCCTCTGGGCTAGTTCATACTAATCCCCTTTAGTTTTTCTCCCCTCCCAGCTCACAACATGTAGGGAAAGTGGGAATTAAGATTAAGAACTTGCTTATCCTGAGAACCCACTGAAAAAAAAATGTGTTTTATTTATTAAGAGAAAATGTGTAGTCAGATTTTTTTAAGTTTTATGGGATGGAGTTACATCACATTGTCTACATTTGATTAATACTTTTTTTTTTTCCTCTCTGAAATTGAGGGGAAAAGTATTTGGAAACAGGTGAAATAGGCCTGGTATCCTCATTATTTATTTTGGGGTTTTTTGGTGGAGTTTGAAGGACCATGCTAGGAACTTAAGTTCTGTGTCTGCTTAAGTCAGTCTTATGAGCTGAACTAATGCGGGGTATGATGGTATCAAGGGAAGTCTAAAGCAGCTGGGATAGTCGTGCCACACACTTAAAAATTAAAATATAATCTGTCAGATTTTCTGACAGTGCTACCAGACTCTTGCAGTGTTTTTATCTTCTATGGTTTACTAATTTTAATGAAATAAAAAAGTTAAAGCTCATCCTATAAGTTATCATTTACTGCCTTTGACACCAAGCAGCACGTAATTTGAAGATGGAATGTCAGTCCTTTAAACGCAATTGGTCTTGATAAATCAGTAGAGGAAATGAAACTCTAGCTGAAGAGCATCTATTACATTATTCAGGTGGACTAATTCTACTTGTCTTGCTTTAATTGTCAGAAACAGGCTGTTATTTACAGAAGGAGTGGAAAAGAAGGAAATCCCTTTTTGGTTATTAACTGGCTTAATTAACAGTGGAAGATCTCAAATTGTAGAAGACCAAACACATCAGTAAAACCCATTCAGTATCTAGTTGGATTGAAAGACAAATACATTCAATACAGTTTCATAGGAAGAAATATTTTACTGGTGAGCTTGGAATAATTAAGGCAATTATGCTTTCAAATAAAATAAGGATAAAAATTGTCTGTTCTTTAGAAAATACTGCATTGATCAGTAATGTATTTAGAATGCATATGCAAAAAGCATTTGAGATGACTTTGATTTGACTCATTAATCCTATTAATTATTAATGGAAGAACATGAAATGATCAGAATCGCAGGTACAGTTGCAGTTAACATAATTATCAGTATCCCAGGTGCAAAAAACAATTTTATGCTTGGCTGTCAGAAAATAATAACTAATGGTAGCTTTCAGAATGAGGCATTAAAACTGCAGTATGAACTTTCTTGAAGAGATCATATGAAACTGTTTAATGTATTACTATGATTAATTAGTAGTTTTTCCTGTGCTTTTATCTCTTTCACAGGAATCACTTGTTAGCTTTAAAATATTTTTCATCTTGTGAACCAAACCAAATGCTTATCAGTGCTGAAGTTAGTTACTTTATGCAGTTATACAGACTGAGAATTGAGACCCACTGAAAAATACTGCTGGTTTTATACGCCTGCATTGATCTCATTGGAACAACTCATTTCATAGGATTTGGCTGCAGTGTGTCATTTTGTGCCAGCATCTTAGTGCAAATATAGAAGACCCACAAATAGAGACTCACAGTCAGGTAACGTGAACTGGTAATTCTGTTTACTTACTCTTCATTTCAGACACATTATGGATATTGTCAGTAATGCCAGAATTGCGCAGAGCACAAATAAATTGACTTAGAGAATAATCTGTATTGGTGAAGGAAAATGAGTTCAAACATGTCAGCAAGTCAGAGGCAATAAAACTGTAGGAAAACTTATAATTATACTCACGTAATCTCCACAATACATTGTGATGCAAGTCTTCTGTTGAGTTGAAAATAGTAACTTTCCTAAAATAAAGCTAATGGTTTGGTAAACTAAATTATTACAGTTAACTCTTAGTGCATTTTAGAGAAATAAGAGAAATCATCCGATGCAACTGCTGCCAAGCTCTTTGGGCTCCAAGGTGACCATGGAGCAGGAGCAGTGCTTGGTACTGCGTGTCCTCAGGTTTTGTGGGTTCCTTGTGTACTTAGTCATTAATCTTCTGTGAATAAATATGATTGCAGCGTGAGTAAATAGAGTCATTAGCACAACACCCTCTGCTCTGCTGTGTTGATTTTAAAAATCAGAATTCAGCTAGACACAGAATGAAATGTTCTCCTACAGCAAGTGCTTGTTGTTAATTATGTACATTTCAGATGGGATCTGGTTTAGCTCTTGTCTCTTTTCTTCTTCTACACAGTGCACTACTTACTCAAATACATACTTTTACCTTGTGTGCTTAGAAAAATACTGTATTCCCTGCAACACCTAGGGCAGGTCCTCAAACCTCTCTGTAGTTGAAAATCTTGCTTGATGTTTTCCTGTAAGTTAAAATTATTTATTAAGATCCTGCAAAAGTAAAAAGATAAAAATGAAAAAATTCTATCACCTTGCTATTAAGAATCAATCTGGGGCAGAATCTGTTTTTCATTGCTTTTGTTTTTTTCCATGTTAATAATAGCTATTACTACGCCAAAGTGCTGAGAAAATTTAAGTTTCCTCAAAAAGTATGAATATGAAATGGTTATATAAAGAAAGTTGATTTCCTTTAGTACAGCTTGAAATGAAGGTGTTAGTGGGGAATTAATTTTATTGCAGTAGTACTGGGATGGCAATAGTTAGGCAGTAATTATAGCTCAAAATCTGAGTTATGTGAGTTCCACTTTTTTGGCTTTATTATTACATCCATCGAATGCTATGCAACACTAATTAAAGGCTGAATATTTTTTTCCTGCAATTGACAATTTTGTTATAGAAAGAATGACAATTGTACTTCTCAGCCCTGGTAAGATGTTACTAGCTCTCCTGATCATTCAGAGCTATACATGTGTTTTGTGCATTCTGTGGCATTGATTTTTAAGGCAAGTTTGTGCATGTCAGTGTACGTTGGATGTGAGATCAGGTCAGTCCTTACACATAGGTTGATGAGTTCCATAGAAAGTGCATGCCTGTGAAGCAGTCTCCATAAAAGTATACCTTTGCTTTAGCATTAGAGCTGCCTTGGATCTTTTTCTGTAGTATAATCAAATCAACTGCTTTAATCTGTGTGTCTCGAGCCGTATAAGGATGGCTGGGGGTTGAAGTCCTGTTTTGCAACTGAACTATGATATTTGTGAAGAATCTGAGGTGGCTGATTGGGTGACTAAACATACAAGGTTGAGCCTCCTTATGATGTGTGTGTTCAGACAGCGATTAGAGTTTAAGAACACTTTAAGCCTTTCCATGCTCTAATTTTACACACATTTCTGTGCTGTAATTAAAAGGTAATAATGTTCATCTTCAGTACAATGCAAAATTGATTAAATTTACAGGAATACAGTGTTTTAATCTGCTTGCGTGTAAGCCTGAAGTGGCCAGGAGCTACAAGGCATAAAAATGCGCACAGAAAATGTGCTCTTGTGAAATACTGATAGCTGGCATATAATACGAGGAGAGAGTTTAACTGATTACAGAACTAGATGTGTCCAGTTCTGGGACTCTGAGCAGAAGAAGGGCATAGAGATGCTGGAACAGCTCCTGAGGAGGGCCACGATGGTGATCAGAGGGCTGGAGCACCCCTGGGAGGACCGGCTGAGTAATCTGTGGCTGTTCAGCCTGGAGAAGAAAAGGCTCTGAGGAGACCTTACAGCAGCCTTCTAGGTCCTGAAGGGAGCTTACGGGGAAGCTGGGGAGGTATTTAATGTAAAGGCATGCATCAACAGGATGAGGGGAAATGCTTTTAAACTGGAAGAAGGTAGATTTAGACTAGGTGTTGGGAAGCAGTTTTTTACTTTGAGGGTGGTGAGACACTGAAACAGGTTGCCTGGTGAGGGTGTGGATGCCCCTTCAAGGTCTGGCTTCGAGCAGCTTGGTCAGTTGGGAGATGTCTTTGTCTATAGCAGGGGGCTTGAACTAGATGGTCTTAAAGGTCCCTTCCAAACCATTCTGGGTTTGTGCATTGGTGACTCATTCCAGGGGAAGCCATGACGGGGCTTCAGCAGGTGGGGAAGCGAATGTCCTTTGGCTGTCCTTACCTCCCATCTCCTCTCTAATATGAGAGGCAAGTTTGGCAACAAAGCAATGCGAAATACATTTGTACACACACTGCTTAGCAAGAGTGATTCAGTGTTTGCGCAGTAGAGTGAACATAGTGAACCTAATCTCACCTTTACATTTTATTCAAGACCAGCATTCAGAGCTGTGAGTCATTTGTAGGTGTAGCTGCCTTTTGGGGGGAAAATAAAGGGGTTGTGCTGCAAGTAGTTTGGACCACCTCATTTATTGATTTATTTATTTTTAAATATGTGGACTGCTTGGAAGCGCTGCAGAAGAGAGCAAAAATAATGAATTGTATAGGAAGACAGAAAACAGTTTTAGTCTGAAGGAAGGAAAAGTGATAGAGGTGTTAACAGTTCCATAAAAATAAAAGCTGCTGCAAGGGCAAGTGGGGGAAAAATTATTTGTCATTGTATTTGTCATTGGTGGACCGGTGAAAACATCTGTATTCTCTTTCTCTCTTTTTTCTTCTATACTTAACCTTTGCCAATTATAAGGTGAGAATTTTGTCAGTTCTTCTTCAGGTCCTCCCAGACAGTGTGCTGTGAGAACCTTCCTCAAGCTTCCTTTGTTCTGCTCAATGATGGGTTTAAGTACACAAATTGCAGCTGATATTTTTTATATTGTTCAAGGGGAAACCTCGAGTAAAAATAATGAGATAAATGAATTTCCAATTGGAGATCCGTATACTTGTTAGAAAAGAATGATTTAACTAAAATTCAAGTGAAAAGATTTAATATGAAATGATCTGTTCATTTTTCCTGGAAAAAAAAGCTCTAGCAGAGCAGCTTTATATTGGTTAAAAACTAAAATCACATCATTGATACTATAAGCTTCAAGCATTACTCTGAAGTCTCTTGACATAACTGAAGTATAGGTGATAACAAAGATATTTCTGCTGCTCTTTTTGCTCTTTACGACTGCAGAGATGAGCAGTAATGTGCTGAAAGCATGGGATTTGTAACTCTGCTGCGGAGCATTTGGTTTGCGTAGTGGAAGGCAAGTCAGAGCTGAACAAGTGGTGGGAAGATGGTCTCTAACACTGGTGCGGTAGTGGCAGTCAGGTGTTTGAAAATGATGGCAAGAACTGCAAGAAGAATTAAACTCGGTGTGAGAGCTTACAGGCATGTCTTGCATCTGATTTAGGATTAGATGAAGTGTATGATGGTGACTACCTTCACACAGTGAGTTGCTGTAGGATCTGTGAAGTCAGACTAAACTTCGGCAACTCCTAAGTCTGTATTTATATTACAAAAGAAATTTGGGGCACTTAATTAACTGTCAATTCCTTCTAAGACTACCAGGGCCAAGCTCTGCTCTCTTTCCGAGTGCTCTGAGCAGAGTATGAATGCACTCCTGTGATGACTTCTAGGGTCTGTAGACTGTGCCTTAAAAGTGTGGCTGCCAGCTGCCACTTGCAGAATTTTGCCTTCACCCACAAGTGTGTGGAATGATGGCTTACCATCTTGCAGGTGATAAAACAGCAAAGCCTGTGGCATAGATTGGGCAGCCTGTTATGTCCCTGTTTTTATTTCAAGCTGCAAATTAAAGTTCAGGTCCCCAAGCTGCCTCCTTCCGTAAGCTGAACAGGCCCAGCTCTCTCAGCCTCTCTTCAAAGGAGAGATGCTTCAGCTTCTAAAATATTTTCATGGCCTTTGTTAAACTGCCTTTATTGTGTCCATGTCTGTCCTGTACTGGAGATCACAGAACTGAATGCCATGCTCCAGGTATGGCCTGCTTGATTTTTGTTCCATTTTGAAGCTGACGTGTAGTAAGGATGCTTGTCTCTACCTAGCCACTTCAAAGGCTTTTAAATAGACATTTCTGTCTGCAGTAGATCTTGTGCTGTGATAGAGATCTTTTGCACAGGTGAAAAGGAAAAGAAGTTTAAAGCCTGGAGCGGAGAGGTGGTGATGCTTTGTCCCAAGGCCAGGTAGGATGGGGCCCTGGGCAGCCTGGTATGGTATTAAATGGGAGGGTTGGTGGCCCTGTATGTGGCAGGGGGTTGGAGATGGATGATCCTTGAGGTCCCTTCCAACCGTTCTGGCCATTCTGTGAAAGGAAAATAAGGTCCTGAAAAGAGACTCAATTTTTTTAATGGTATGTAAAATTAGAGAGGGATCTAGGTGACTTCTGGGGCAAGTGTAGATCATCTGGAAAGAAGCTCATCAAAAGCACAGATCTCTGATCTAAGAGGAAAAAATGAACTAAGAAGAGGAATTTGAAGACATTTCACACCCCCAAGTATTTGTTTCCGTAAAAAACAGCCAGAGGTCAAAACCTTGTTGATTGTGTTGAAAGGTGACCTCAGTCTGTGTGTGGTAGAAGAATTTGCCTTCAGCTCTACTGCCTCACAAGAAAAGCCTGTGGTTGTTTCCTTGAATGTTTTTTCTTTGTCTTCTCTCAGTGTACAGGTTTCATTTAATCTGCTGTTGGGCAAGAGAGAGCAGACTTGGACTGATGGTCACGGTGTGTGCAGTTTAAACTGTCTCTGAGTAGCGATTCTGTAGTTTAAGGTCCTTCTGTGTTTTTATCTTATGCTATAGACTCAGCCTCTGTAATTGCATATTTTAACAGCCTTTTTTTGTTTCTCGTGCAACTTGTTCAGGTTATGTTTAAAATAATGGCTGACACTTGCCACTGGGTTTTCTAGGAGTCTGATCACTTGATTTGGGGAATGCGTTGCACTTCCCATCAGAAAGTCTTGGCTTCTTTCCATGGAAGGATATATAAATGTTCTGCGCTATTTGATGTGTTATTTAGATATGCTTACCTAATTTGATGCTGTGTTCTTTTATAAGTGATTCCTTGTTTCATAGCACAGTTCCAGTGTTTGTGGGCATTGCTTCAAGAGCGTGAAAACTGTTTCAGTAAATTGTTTGGGA